CGGCGTCGGGTTAGACTGACGCTGCTGACGTCAAGCGGTCATTATTGGCAATCATCGGTCGGGCTGCAGATCAGTCATTGCCGTGGAACCTTCACCGACTTACCGGTTCGCTAAACAGCTGAAGTTCGCCACTTCCTCCGCAGCGCTACTACAAGCCAGAAGCCTGACATAACAAAAGCCGCAATGCGCCAGAGGGCACCGGCATCATAATATAACTAAATGTACTCACACGGGGTAGAAGTAGTCGATGTATTTGACGACAACCTCTCTGAGCAAATCCTGTTTGTTCATGATTGACGAGTAGCTTGCACTTATAATTTTAGTTTGCATGGCTCCCGTTTCGTTATGGGAGAGTAACGAGCGGGACTTCCGGGTCCCCGATGTCGGTTGTAGCGGAGCCGTTTTAAAAAAGTTTGTGCCCTTGTGCGTAGCGAAATAGAGCAGTTTTCGGTTCTAAGTAAAAAGACGCGGGCGAGCAGAGTGACGCGTTGCGGCGGACTGGGAGCGGGGCCTGCGTGGGGGGCCGGGGAGGGCAGGAGAGGGGCCGAGCTCAACTGCAAGCTAGCGGCGCGCGCACGACTCTACCTACTACGGTCCCTCAGCTACGACAGCGCTTCCGAACACCTAGGCAACGCTTTTGCGACACACCCGCCGCAACGCCCCGCAACATACAATGAAGCCGTATGAGCCTCCGAACGTGCATTCAGTGTTTTTGCTGTGAATTACAATCGGATCGGTTCAAGGCTGACCAGATCTGGTCAGCTTCATTCGATCGCTCTAATATAAAAATAAACCAAAGTAGAAAAAAAAACACGACCATTAGCTTTCAAGATCCAAAACAGAATTGTTTGTGACTTTCAAGGTTACATTTACGAAGAGTTCTTTATATTTATTAGTCTTGTGACAGTATTCACGGTTCAAACAGGTTTTTAAATCAAATGCCATCATAAATACACAACAAATTATTTTAATGTTATGAACGAAGTGTTTACTTGAAAGTATAAATCTATTTTTTATATATAAAGAAAAAATAGAAAAAACTAAGTGTTATTCTTAATCGACATAAAGTATTAACGTAGGTATTATTATGTATATATAAATAGAAGATAATGATAACAAGCTGTCTTGATGCTTGCATTAAATAAGGCTTCCTACGTTATGTTTAAAATAAAATAGTAAATTTCACTCCTAGTATTTCAAAGAGTTTTCTTTCACTTAATTAATATTCTTCCTTATTCACTTAACTTTATTATAAAATTAAATTATGTAAAGACGTTGAAGCGTCTTAATTTGTTGGAGGAAAGAAACTTAATTGTTTATTCTCTTAGATTGAAATCAGTCGACTGAATAAACAATAGAAATAGTTTTAAGAAAGTTTAAACAAAAATCTAAACATTATTTGTATAAAATAAAAATGCATTTAATTAAAAACACGATAAAAAAACAGTCTTCATAGTGATGCTTGTTTTTAGTTTCTATGATCGACGTGAACTTTCTAGATGGATATACATAAACATTTAAGATTATCTCAAGTGTTTGCGTCACTAGATATGCAACAAATAATGCCATTATAATGTTGTGATTATAAGAAAACTATTCCATAAAATATATAAAACAAAAACGTATTAACTCTTGAAATTTAAATGAAAAAAATCTTAAATAAAAACCATGTATATATGTATGTAAAGAATCAGTTCCGAGTTATGATGGAAGCCAGAACGATTCATGTTCAACAACTGTTTAGAATTTGGCTCTAAATCACTATGATACAAGCCATACGTATAATATTTGAATTAATCTACTTTAATCATTCAGTATGATAATTTTAAACTAGGTATAGACGGTTTTAATTCAGATTCAAATGTTCCATATCTTATTAGAACATACATATATACAAAAGTGATAAATCTCTACTAATATATTATAAATGCGAAAAAAACTCTGTCTGTCTGTTACGCTTTCACGTCTAAACCACTGAACTGATTTTAATGAAATTTGGTACAGATACAGAGGTGACCTTGAGAAAGAACATAGAATAGTTTTTATCCCAGACTTTTGAAAGGTTCTCTTGGAAACGCGATATAACTGCACTCCACGCGGGCGAAGCTGCGGGCGGAAAGCTAGTATAATATAAATAACAAAATACATATACAAATTTTATAGTTTTTACCTATTTTGACTTTACATCATCCTACGTAGAATACTCTTTGATTTAAACTACTTCACCGTACAAAAAAAGTTGACCAATTTAAAGTTTCTATTCTCAGCTCAATAGAGTGGAATCCGTATAGTCCAGTTTAGTCGGAACACAAATAATGCACAGATGGTGTTGTGATATAACGAGAGCTGTACACTCGTTGCAAAACATAAGTAATATATTACATACGCTACACAATAAAACGCAATATTATTTCAGCAACTGACACGTATTAACACAATTAGACTAAAATATATATAATATCCTTGGACAGACATCACAGTTTAACATTTTATAAGGTCATAACACATATAGTGTAATATGAAAAAAACCGTTATAGCGTTCTGTAAAATATAAATAAACTGTGTAAATTTAATAATAATAATAAATTAATAAAATTTACTCTAAAATTATTTAGTATGTAATGGAATTATCCATGGTTATATAGTAATTGTATAAGAGAAGCACATTGCGTCAACAACTTTACTGAGATATAATTTAGATTACTTTGGTTAAAAATATGTATATATTAATACAGAGAAGAGAATAAAAGCGAGCGTGTGCTTATTGATTTACAACGACACTGTGTGGGTCGAGTTAACAATATTTACGGTATGTAACGTAAACTATTAAAAAGTCACATTTGTCTCGCAACTGTAATGTGATGAATATTAAAACACGCACATCTACAGCTACCTACGCGTTGTACGGAATTACAAGTGCCTTTTACTGCATGTGCATGCATTAATTATTTACATGCAAATGTATTGACCTTGATGAGGATGTAATAAAAAAGACTAATAGCTCTATAACATATTAATACTTGTATTATATAAGACGTATGAAACAAAGAGTCAAGCCGGATCCAATTTTACGTCTTGGTAGCTGTCATTATATCTGATGACGCAGGTTTATGATGGCTCTGTGCAAAAAGTTGAAACAATAAATCGATGATTAGGGATGACCTTGGAGGATTATATAAAAAGTTTAATTTATTATAATAATAATAATATTTATTAAAACTGCACTGCAATAAAATGATAAAACGTATTAAATAGCAATAACGATTAAGTTCCTTCAACTTTAGTCCGGATAAGGTCTAGGTTTTTGAACGTCCTCAAAGACAAATAATATTATCTAGTGATCATAAAATGATAATGAAATAATTCATTAATGTTATTTTTATAACTTTATCTATAGATATTTCTGTCGATATCTTTTAAAACCACAGATTATCTAGACGCTTATAGAAAACCGCAACGATGTTTACTTATTGAATATACCTATTCATTTATTATATATTTATTGATCTAAACTTAAAGGGATGTAGTTATAATATTCCCGTCTTGAAATGACATCACTCACTCTGTTCACTGAGAACAGTACAAAACATCTCTAGATGAATAATTCTTAGTGACCCTTAAACTTATAATGAAATATGTTGTCACCATCGATATAAAAAACAGCAAAATGAAACGCTTTTTGTTAGTGATAATGCAATTATAAAGGAATTATTGTTGTAGTTACATCATGAATACCTACTTAATGATCTTAAGTGGACGGATAATAATAGCAATTGTCAAGATAATACGCACATTAACATTACCCATCCACTATATATATATAAAACTAATATTTCTGCTTCTAATATCAAGTGATTAGAAAAAACTACTACTATTTCCTAATGTCTATCTATCTGTCTACCTAACGATTTCTTGTTCCGGGTAAAATTATGAAAGAGATGTCAGTATTGTAACATATGTATTACGTTGGTAATTTTCATACTATTCATAATATTTTGTAACGAAAACTGAACATATCAGATAAAGTTAAAGTGAATTACGTCCACGTTATAAAACTATATCAGGGAAATAGAAAACGTAACGGAAGTTGTAATACTTGTAGAGTGTAGACATAATACAATATAACACGTAAGCTGTTACATTGTACATATTATAAAATATTGAGTGTGATAAACATGGCTCTAATCACTGAAAAGGTTTAATGAAAATATAATATTTTGTTCAAGAATAATTGTTCATAGTTGAAACATAATCCTCGTAAGAAATTAACTCGTCATACATGGGGGTACAATGGAGTAAAAATTGTATTACTCTAACCAAGTAGTCTTTAACATATTATAGAGGAAATTATGTATTGAAAATTATGAAATTCCATCTCAAGTGTCGTGAGCGATGACCGGTGACATCCTCATTGTAGCAATGGGACTAACTTGAACAAATTGAAGTTTCCGCTAGTTCGGGTTTACTGGACTTTAGTTCGGATCGCGTCAGGCTAATGTTAATCATAATGTTGAATTAAAATTAAATAATATACACGTTTATTTGGAATCACGAACACGTTTTAAAAAGAGATGTACGTATGAAATTTGAAGATAATTAAGATTATATCAAGAAAAAAAATAAATCATATAAATTTTATCTAATCGCTATATGGACGTAATACCTCGAATTTACACGGTACATTTTTTACGGTATGGCTTTATAATATTATATGTATATTGTAATAATTGTGCATTTTAATATAACAATGTTTTAAATGGTATGATCTTAAAGTACAGACGTGGATTAAAACAACATCATGGCTAACAAAAATCAAGTAAACAATACTTGAAAAACAAAACGATAAGGCTATCAAACATCACGGCATTGTATGATATTGTCAACGGGTCTGATAAGCTTTAGATGGGACTGTGTAATATTCAACTAATCTGGATTCAATGTGATAGCTGATAAACAACATCACATAATTACATTTTATAATAATTATATTTGATCGGCACTTACGAGCACCATGTGTTTCTGCGAGTGCAGTTTCCTTTGTTTGTTGTCGCTGGTGCTGTTTTTGGGTTCGTATCGGAGGAGAGGCTCAACTTGAAACCAGCGATGGATTTCCGTCGTTTGGCGGCGAGAGCGCGGGAGGCGAGATCCGTATCGTGAACATGTCCCGTCGTCGGGGTGAAGTGAGTGCATGTCTTCATGTGCGCCTGCGCAGTAGCCACCTGGAGCAGCTTGCTGGTGAGACTGCGCCGCCCTAGGGCTTCGCATGTTGCACAACGTCTATCCTCCATGAAGGCCCTCGTGTGTCCGTTTCGCGCACGCCGCTTGCACTGAACGCGAATTGTTTCCAACGGACGCGTGGTAGCTTAACTGATGTCATCGGGCGAGCAACACGCGCACAGCCGTCCACGCTCGTTACTCATAAAATTTAAGATTGCGTTCTTAACGGCACGAAAAATCGATCGATACTAGAACCGAAATAGGCTTAATGCGATAATAGAAGCGCGATAAGGTTTACACGCGAAATAAGTGTATTGACCCAATTGGTGGTGGCACAGAGACGGCTTCGGGGGGACCTCGGCGGGCGGCCCTGCGCGGGCGTCTCGGCGGGACAGACTGCGGTCGCAGCTAGAGAACACCCCCGCCGGAGGTACTTACTTCGTAATACGAACGTTAACGAACATATCAATGTTCGCGGTGAATTATATTACGAGTGTGGAGTGATTCCTGGCATATCAGGCTTGTTTGATGGCGGTTTCATTATAATAGTCACATTACCTTGGATTACGGCCAGTTGGTTAGGTGGCATCCACATTATTAATCACCAAATGGACGAGCGAAAAACAAAAGTAAATAAACGAATTACAAAAAACATTTTACATAAGAAACTCTACATAGTCTCGATAGAATATTAGAAGTACTTTTTTGACACGATTCAGAAAAAACGTAATGTGTGTACACATAAAAACTTATATATTGGATTATAATATTAATATTATGCTATGAAGTAAGCCATTAGTAATCAATCGGTGCTTTAAAGATCTGTGTATGGGTAATGTTAATACTCGTCTATAAATCAAGTCGAATGCCAAATTGTTTTGAATTCTATAAACATGTAAAATAACTAGATATTGGCGTTGAACCAATTTAGCACACACCTCTTTCCTTGCCGGGAAATAAAGCAACTGGCTAACATTTAAATAAACAAAGCAATCGTATCTGAATAGAACGTAAATTAAATAATGAACAATCAATTACATTTAATAAGTTATTTACGTGCTAGAGATGTTTCGTAATATATAATTTTTGTTGTTTAACAAATTAAATCTTTAACAAGTAAGAGAATACGTATTAAATTTTTATTTATATATAAAAAACATTATCATTAAATCGTTTGTATAAAACTCCGATCAAGTACGATTGAGATTCAATATCATATTAATCATCGGTATATTTACATAGCAATGTTATGTTATATTCTCTCATGGCAACTCGGCGACGTATTACAAATTCAAGCTATAATAAGTGATAAAGATTAGGTGTAATAAATTTTCCAAAGCCTTTACAATATAATGATAGTGTACACTTCAAGGCGGGGGAGCGGTGATGGTTTCTTTAGTTTTACCTTGAGACTTGTCTGTTATTTTTGCCTTTCTTTTAATCAAGGAGGCAGAGTTATGAAACTGGATATTTCGGTATACATATATTTGTAACGAATTGCATTAGCTCTTCAGTCTATAAATGACATGTGGATCGATTGTTGTTTACCTGTTTGAGACACGTGTCTGGCACAGGTATAAAATATATTTAATGTTTTTATAATATGTACTTGTATTGTGTACAGGAACTATTAGAATAATAAAGATTATTTTACTTCAGATTGAGCAATTTCACAGTAAATAATTTTATATTCTATTATTGTAAGACATACGAGTCCTACAGAACAAAAAAAAGACCATAATTTCACGATCAAGTATTCTTATTACATATAAAATTATTTCTATGTGTACATGTATATAATTTTTTTATTGCTGGTTTTACCTCAACTGCATATGATTATCATTTTATATCTTGTCTCTAACGTATTATCTTTATATTCTTATCTTATTGCCGTACATTTTTATCGAAAGTATTTTTTTCAATCGATTTGTTTGAACTCGTTTATATGATCGAATTAGTATCGCTGACACCAAACCAACATTACTGACCTGTCTAATACGATACTCATGTGTCTGTGAAGGTTCGCCTTGAGGTCTCTCCGTGTGTAATGGGGCTGGGTGTATGCGAGCTGGATGGGTGCTGACGGTGGCGGGATCCGCTTCCCGATCAGCACCTTCAGCTCAGCCATCAACGTCTGCACCATACGGACACGACTCTTCACGACAGCTCGATGTAAACTAGTGCCGAATATCCGTCAATCATCGGCCAGCCAAGATGCATTGGCTCGTAGTTTTCATCGGTTGCTGACGTCACAGCTGCCAACACGTGATGCCAGGAGTACCATCGAAGCGGGCGTGCGTATTGACCGCGTGCGGGTGCATCACTGCTCGCCCAAACCGACATAGACTCTGACCTCGCAGCTTTTTATAATTGCCCGATGTCTTCGTTTGTACGTGGTGTGTACGGGAGAATATTTTTAGTTTATATTTAGAACGGTGAGTAGCGCACGGACGATACCGAAACTGATAAACGGCGTGGATAATGAAATATTGAGGTGCGACCGATACCTGATATTCGCTAGTGATAGATGTAAAACAAAGGTTAGATTAGAATAACTGGGTATATTTATAAATTTCGACTTTATATTTATTGCTTGTAATATTCATTCCACCCAGTTCTTTGGAAAGTGGAAATAAAGTCGTATGTAGCCATCACATTGTCTCTATATATATATAAATTGTATGCCTCATCACGACCCAGTGTCAAAATATGCTAATATTAGATTTATATTTCCTAACTCCTATATACATATAATAATTAAAATAAATAGTACTGTATCTACTATCAATAATTTTAGACGGAATACTTAAAATTGGTTTTAAAAATAATACGCTATAATAATCGACTGTGAATAACAAAACGAGCGGGAGTGAGAAATAGCAGTACCTGACGACACAGGAAGTGAGGACGGCTGGGCATAGTGTGGAACTGACAACAATACATACAGAACAAAATAAATATTATATGAGAATTATTACACAATAGACATATATAAAAGAAATTAAAATGAATGGGATATATGATGAAAAATAATTTACTTCGTTTATTATTATCCCTACTAATATGTATTATAAATGCGAAAATAACTCTGTCTGTCTGTTTGTTCCGCTTTCAAACCACAGAACTGATTTTAATGAAATTTGGTACAGAGATAGAGTTGACCTCGAGAAAGTACATAGGATAGTTTTTATCTCAGACTTTTAAAAGGGACTCTTGGAAACGCGATATAACCGAACTCCACGCGGGCGAAACTGCGGGCGGAAAACTAGTTATAAATATAAACAAAATTATTACTGATTTTATAACATTTTCGTTATTAAATACATATGTATATTTCGCTTTGATATTGCCGCGTAACAAATCCTCAAGGATATTATATACATTTTATCTGATCTGTGAACATATATTATAATGTTGTAATATTAACACAGAATCTCTTAATGTATTCAAAGAAACAGTCACGTTAAATTATTATGTGTTGCATCAAATGTATAACTAGTGTTGTGTTGTGTAATAATTGCAATAAGTTTACCAAGATCTCAAGTTATTGAGTTTGTAAATTAAATATACTATTAAACTGTAATATGTTAGAGCTTTCTCCTTTATAATAGTTAATATCTAGATTATAGTATCGTTATAGACAAGCGTTAAGACTAATGCTTCCGACCATATCACAATGCAAAGAGGAAATACTATTTCCTGAACGTATTGAGAGTAATTGTGATACAGATTTCATAGGAGACCACTAACCGTTATAACAGTATTATCGTATAGTTCTTAATTAATTTAACAAGGAAGTCAATATGAATGTGATGTAACGTTTAACAAATGAATTATTTTAGGGCATACAATAAAGTATAGCTGGAGTTAATGATCGTTCTAACGTAACTATTTGCAACGGTTTGTAATTGAGTTAATTGTGAAATGTACACCACAGTACTACTACTGTTATAGTACGGTACGTTTGTTACAGAAACTTTCAAGATAATAAATAGTATTTAGTATACTATGTGTTTCATATTAAAATGTTTGGGTCGAGGACGCGGATGCGTGACCCATTTAACCAACACAATAACATCAAATAGTAAAACAGAACTTACATTTTTTTTGATATAACAATCCTTAAAGGTGTTGTTAACAACTTTTATGTTATTCTTTCACTAGTAAACACTCGGATGGTTGTATTTTCGTTTTTTACAATCAATACACGTCTCTCTCGTATAATTTCCGTGTGTAAACTGAGTTTGCGCGTGCCTGTTCCCAGCCCTGCTTGAATGGGGCGGCATGAAGGGTGCCGCTGTGGCGCTGTGGCTCGTGGCAACGTCAATCAATATGAGAGTTGAGAAGCAAGCTTTGTATTGGTTTACACTGCTTACACGAATACGCAATACGCAAAGTTGTAGTGCGTTAATTATAGCAGTGTCCTATTGGAATTACAACAAACTGTTAGGTATAATTAGAAAAAATTCATAACATTTTGATATACAGAATATAATTTTGCTTTATTATTAAGGGAGTATCAGAGCTTGCACTTATATTTAATGTTGAACAATATTCAAGACTCTGAGACAATAATTATTATGGATTAGGAAGCGATTGCAAAATAACACAGGCTTATAAAAGTGAACGCGTTACATTACACGCAACAGGGTATAAGTATGCGTCGGAGCAGAGTGCAGATGCAACACGCTTACACAATAATACGAAACACGTTTTTTATTTATCCACAAACGTTATTTCATCACAAGTCAATTTTATTTAAAAAAAAAAATCATTATAAGCTTCCAGTTAACAACAATTATGCCAGTAATTAGCAAACTCAGAAGGAGGAAGGTCCTTCGAATAAAATTTATATGTATATATATATATTTTTTAATAGATGCTTACATAAAATCTACATTAAAGTCATAAAGGTCAAACAAGAGTTAAACGTTAATTGCTTCTGCAATCGCTAAGTGAGCACTGGCTTCGTAATATCCTGATACGATTAAAAATATATTAAAAGAAATCTAAAAATATTTCGATATCAGATTGTATATATCTGATGATCTGGATAAACGATAGAGGATCTAATGATACTGATAAGGTGACATAACAGTGCTCAAATGCAAACCACGCTGACGCAACTTACGCAATGCAGTTACGTGGTGTGACAAAAACACTCGGCATCTCCTATCACGGAGATGGAGTACAGAACTATAGGAGTACAGGAGTACGAACAGCTGGCATGACTTGGAGCCATCTACACAAACATAGAAGAGAGAAGACGAGAGAAACAAAACGGATATTGAAACGAAAAAACGACAACAAAAGACCTTTAATGAGCTGTGAAGCTATTTAAGTCTATGGCGACGAAACGATTTTACGTGTTACGAGATATAAATCAGGATGAAAAATGTACAGGAAAAACTAATGAGGCCATCAAAGAATTTATATATACTGAAAAATATAAAGGGACATATTAAAAGGCGGTGTTTCGACACAAGCGACGACAGAGCACGCTGGTTACCAAAGAGTCGATTGGAGAGATAACAAAATATGACAAATGAATAATGATAAAATCGATACGTGCTGTCGATACTGAATTAATATGTAAGATGTTATGTTCACGTCTGATTTACATAAGAAGCGGTTCATTACAGATAAGTCTCAACTGTCGGACTGTTTACACATTCATTATGACACGACAACCAGCTACTTAGAATACAGATGACTATATATTTTACATTTAAAAATCCAAAAGTCAATCAGTTTAATATAATAAAGCTGAAGAATTAGCTGAGCTCAATTTAATAGATCGCAAGGGAGCGGACGATACTGACTTTCCCTTTTGTTATTGTGAAAGTGATGATAGCTAATGGAACAAAGCATCGGTTTGCATCCTAAGTTCACCCACCGATCAAAACGTGTAATCCAATATTACTTTGGAGTTCAGTATTGAACATAAATAAAACACTTCACTGCTTTTGCATATATTATTTCTGATTTAAATCAGGACATAGAATATGTTATTGTATGCTAATTGTACACTTTTAGTAGTAACATAGAATTATAGATTTTGAAATGGTTAAAAAATTATAGAATACAAAGGGCCTGCAATCTTATCACATGACTTACAAGACAATATTCTTTCAATAGTTATCATGCGACTATATACAACTAAATCCTTGAATAAGTCTATTTTTTATTATTCCATACTAGGCGACCGTGTGATAGTGAATAGTGTCACCTTGTTGTTTATTTAGAGTCAACCTTTTCAACCTCCCCTTGAAAATCCTTCCATCAGAACGTACCATAAAAGATGAAGTCAGGCATACAACATACACTCAACATGCAAACTTATCGAAGATAATTAACAATAGTATAGTTTCTGATATAAAACATTTATTAGAACACCTTATTAATATAATTAGAAGCAGGTCCGTAGAAACGAGATAATTGGAACGATGTATGTGTGTTATATGAAAAAGTTTATGCGTTAATTGCTAATGCATACACGAAGTATGCTAGAGTAACTGCCAAGTCGGTCAATGCAATCCGCCGGTAGAAGGAGTTCGGGGGAACGGTAACATTTATCATCATTTATCAGCTGTACATACATACATACAGCTTGAGATCACATTGTTTATGATTACAAGGACGGTGGACAGCGGACAACCACGGACACAAAACCAAAATGAAATAAATAGCGCTTTCTAGATGACTTTCTCTTAATATTATTTGAGCAGTACACTGTACAGATATTGTTACGTTAATAACATGTTAAGGATCGTTCCGAGGAGTGTCCAGAGATATTTAATGTGTTAAATATTTGTAGAGCAGATAATAACAATTTTAAAATAGCGATCACCTTATAAAGGTTAAACAAATAAGGGCGTGGGCAGTGTTAAATGTTCTGTTCAAGGTTAACCTCACGTACATACATACGTATCTTATCTTTGTTACTCGTAACTAATAATATTGAAAAATACATTTTACGTAACATCAAATATTTTGATATAAACTTTCTTCATGATTGATTTTAATTTTTAATGGTATTTAAACAAAACTATCAAATTTAGCTATCAATTAGATGGTTACAGATTGTGATAATAATTGAATTTTATTTATGTTAATGATATGATATATATTAATAAATTTCATAGAAATATAATCAGCATAGTGCGAAGTAAAATTATAAAATGATAATTCTCAGAATATCGTTACATATAACTACTATATCTATACATTATATAATATGAAGGCATATTTAAATCTGTATTTCAAATATAAGATAATATCGAACGTTCAAACTAAATTACGTTAATTTTATATTTCCAAGGCCGAATCCTAGACGAGATAGATTTCATTCTAAAACCGATATTGGTTAATATCGACTTATAAATAGAATCTTCACCTTTCTTAAAATAATACAAATATTAATCTATTTGCGGATTCAACAAACAAGTCAATAAATATTATTACCCTAAAATTTGTATGTATGTGTTATTCGTGATTCTTATAAACGAAAGTAAGGTGTATTTACATTTTAAAACAACCGTCTTTTATATGAAAGTGTGTTGTTTAAGAAAATATTATATCATAAGCCCTGAAAATCTGTAGGTATGTGACTTTTAATATGTCACCAAATACATTGTTGTTTTGAGACAAAATTTTATACACAAGGTTGACTTTCTAATGGAAATTAATTATTTTATTTTACTTAATTTTGTATTACATATTTATATACAAATTACATTTGATATGTCCCTTTCCAATAACAAAAACATTTTGACTTATAACACAAAATTTAAAATATAAAATCTTTTGTTTGTTGACTTCAATCAATTTCCAAAAAGAAATTATCTCAAACGTCCGATACTTCTGAGGTTAATAACAAGACATTCATAAATCATACGATGGATGGCCTTGCATTAATAATTTAATTTGTACCTTTTTGTTGCGAAAGGTTTATAAAGTGTTATTTTGTAATGTGGTAATTAGAGGCTATGGACTGGACTGGTGCAGAACATTTTAAATTTGAGTAATAACATTTTGTTAATTTTGTATAATGCTTTGTGAATTAATAAAACGTTTTGTTATTAAAATGAACTTATCAGACACTCTTCGCCATTTAATGTTACGTCGTCAGATCTTATTAAAAATGAGAAAAATAATTAATAATTCCAATGACATATTAAAATTATTAATTAAAATTATCAAAGACTAGATTTCAAAAATATTTTAATCCAACTGGAACGGCTTACCGCATGATGTCATAATGATGAACAAACATAATAGAGAGAGAAAGAGCTAGAGGTACGAACGAATCGTCAACATGAGATCAATCATCTACTTACCCGATGAAGTTTTTGATGAAACAATAAACAGCAAATAGTGTGGAATCATTGAGGGCAAGTTCCGGCTTGATTCTGGGCAGAGGAACAGCTGGCGAGATGTCACCGGCCGGTGGGGCGCGCACCTCCGGCGTGGCCGCGCTCATGGCGGGCGCGCCGCGAGGCCGCGTGCCCGGGGCGTGCGGAGCGATCGTGGCGGCCACTCAGCACCGCATTACACCACCACCACCACCAGCGGCGGCACCAGCGGCGCTAGCCCGCCACACGCCACACGCCACCGACACCGTCTGCCGACCGACCGACCGACCGACCGACCGAACCAACCAACGAACCACCGACGTCCGCCGCTCCGAATATTGATCGCGGCGTCGCGCCTGCGCTGTGCCGGGACCGTGATACACTAGGCTCGCCTCACACGTCCAGCATCAGGAACGCCAGGTACATCACGAGAAAAAACCACGGGCAGAACAGGTACATACAAATAGACATCGTTCTCTGTTTGAGGGACCTTGTGGGACTAAAACTGGGTATAGTTTCTGTGATCGTATCTGGATGCGGAGTATCTGTTGTCGGACTCGGTGTGAGCACGTGCAGGTCGCGCGTGCGTCTGGCGGCGCGGCGGCACTCTGACTGGACGCGCTCACACCGCGTGCTCGGTGCTCACGCTAAGCGCGCACACGATATCCGCTCACCGAGATATATATATATACAATGTATAACAACACCGTATATACCTTGATTTAAATGCTTCAGCCTTACATACGATAGCCATAACAACACAAAAGGACCTCCAACTTTCCTTCTGGTAAATAACTTCCAAATTTACAAAAGGAAATCCGATTTTGATTTGTGTGCGCGTGATTCACGACAACATTCAATATTATATTGTTTACTTGACTTTAATATGCCAACAAGCTACCTACAACGAGATAATGGCATATTCGACAACTTGGCACACGAGTGAAATGAAACAATTGACGATGTATAAAATATATTAAAAATAAACAAAATAATCTTCAGTTATTATAATATAATAGTAAGTAAAAGTCTGTATTCTAGAATCACTAGTAATATAATATCCCCCCAAAACAGAACCACGGTCAATGTCCTAGTGACGGACAAACGTTCCAACAAGTGGTTACAAAAACAAAATCAACTCCATCCATCGTACTCAAAGTGAAATGACGCAAAACATTTTTTGTCGTAGTAATTACTAGTGTTGTTGGGTACTCAACTAATTATAATTAAGTATCATATATTCTTCTAGAATGTACCGGTACTTCGATTATAATATTACTAGAGTAAACGTAGACATAATAAAATATTTCATATTTGATTTGCAAAATTTACAGTCAGCGTTATATCGTATTACTACATATGATAAGCATGTCATATTTCGAATTCCCAGACACCAAGTGTACAAGAAAACAAAAAGCTAATGAAACAATGAACTAGTCGCGAGTTTAAAGTGGTCTTCTGAGACAACGAGGAAGCTGTTGTGATATCATGGTAGCAGATGTCTCAGCATTTGACAATGTTAGACAATAAGCCGATCAGAAGGCGGCGAGACGAGTTCCAAGAACGACCGCCTCCGATGCTGACACCAGCTCATTTACCGAGAACGTAGACATGCACCCGCATTACTCAGACCCATTACAAGCGGAACGTTTGATGCGCTTTGAAAATTATCTCTTATTAATGCTTCCCCGTTTCATTAATAATAATGAATACGATTCCTTTTTTTTACTGGTAAACAATAAATCCACACTTCCTCCTTTTATGATGTGCTAAATTATTGGCAGTGTTTAACATTTTGAAGTTCAACTGGTGTCAGATACACTTTTACACTTTCGCAATACTAGCTAACGACACTTGAATCAAATAACACAATAAAAAATAATTACAAACGTTATAAATTTATCAAAACCAAATGTTATTTGTAACATTTGTTATTATGGCCAACCTGAGCGATATTTTGCAATTAACTGAGGGAATTTATTGAGTAGAAAATTAAAAAATCAATAGAATGAACATAGAGTTAGAAAAACATTATTAGTATATTATTTATTAACCAAACTAATTTAATTTCCGTATACAAAACAAAACTGCAATAATTCATAGCGGTTACACTTTTGTTAGACATTCAATGATTTTCTAACAACCTGTTAGTTGAGTCTCGGTACCAATGAGACCTGTATTTATTAACATAATGTTTGTCTTGTATTGGAAAACAATATATTCATTTGACATGTAAAGATTAGCTGTAGGTATTTTGTGTGCAAAAGACGTGGAAATTTCTATATATATTGAAACCAAAGCCATGGTGTGCCCGTTAGAGACACGAGGATGTTGATATTCATGCAACACGACCCACTTTTAACGTGTGAAAGCGCTTGCCTTTAATCTTCTAGGATTTTTAATTACATTATTATACTCATATTTCTTTTAAAATAACGTTTAAACAACTAAATATCACGATAAAAATATCTAATTATTAAATGTTTGTATTATTTGACTACGTTTTCAACAATAATCAAACTAGTAACTGCATAAACAATACAAAGCCAAATTCTTTTGTTTTCAACTATAGCAACAAACGCATCAGTTATACTCGTATATTCATCGATATAAATCTATGTTTACATGGTTATTTAGGCGCGGGTGTTATCTGAGTGTTGTTTAAATCGAACGCGGCCCGCCAGGCTCCTGTGTTTACGCAAGTGTCGGCAATTTCCCGTTATCAAGGAGCTGCGCACGCGCACCGAGCCCCGCGCACGCTGATCTATGGCGCAAGCTTCCATCATTATTCTCATTACGAGTGTGTTTGAAATCGTGGCACACCCGTCTAGCCCCGAAACTCGCCGCTATGACAATAATACCACTCTAGGCAAATGTCACAAATGGAATTTTAATATTGAATACATAATACAGTTTGTTAATATTAAGAACGTGATATTTACAATGTTGTTTTGTATAATTCACGACGTTAAGTTTGAAAGATTATAATGAGATATATAACAATGTATGTATTTACATTGCATTTAACAAAACTGCTTTGAATGTATTCAATAAACAATACAAAAAGTGCGACGATTGACGGCGTAGACTTAAGTTACATTGTATATAGTATATTACAATTTGTTTCATAAATGAATTTTACTGTTGCTTGTTTTGTTTATGCAATAATAACCATCAGATTGTGTTACATTTTGGTATGTGCGTAGTAACTGAATGATGGGAAAGAATGTCATGTGAAGTTTAACCGCCTAGATCCTATTACCATATTAATATATATGGAATCAGACTTGTTTTGTTTATATTAGAAATTGTTTTAATAATTTAAACATTAATTAAAAAACTTTCAATATTTTTAAAGGCAAATGATAATAGGATAGATAGAGAAATGAGAACTGCTTATGTCATAGTTACCACATTACATATCTGCTATATTTTATAATACACTTCGTAAATGTAAAATATATGAAAAATATCAAGATATTAACGTTTATAAATTAACTTAATTATAAAATTGGCGTCTGTTGGGAACAAAGACCTTCTAATTAAGGATGGAATAAAAACAAAATGAGGATATACAAGCAGAATCAAGATTCCCACAGCATGAGGTATGTAAAGGAGTTTAAAAGCGCACCATCAGATCATTGGTCACCTATAGTTAAGAGTTAATACTAATAATTTGATACCGTACATGGATTAAGTGGCACCGGGAATGTGAATGTGAAGTACCGTCCAGGTTATCGTGGGCGTTTTTCACACGATACTGTTTACCATTCGACTACAATTAAAACGAATGAGTTGACGTTCTCGGTACAAGGCCGGTAAGTATACACTACCAGAGCTAACGAGGAAAAGAACTAACGAACAGATTCATACGCGATATTAGTGTAAAAAATATTTTATTCTTCAGTAATATAATCTCGTAAAAAACATTTATAATAAATTGCTTCATAAAATCGCTAATTTCCTATGATAGATAAAAAGATGATAAGAACAATACATAGTTAATACTTTATCGGACAAGTGTCATTTTTTAGACATGATTTTACGAAAATTAAAGTTCCTGAGTAAAATTCGAAATGTACGATTATCCGTTTAATAAATAAGATATATTAATTTCCCTCAGATATTTCACAGTTTCTCCAAATCGAAGTCATACAAATAAATATAGGAATTCTTAATAGATACATTCAGAACCCTGGCCATATACATCGTATATGATATTACAGCATGTTTTAAATATATAATTAATAAATAATAAATGTTAAGGTAAACGTTATGTCTATCTGTTAAAATCATCTTCATTAATCACGAGGGTAATACAAACTGCTTCACGAAAACAATTGCAACCGAGTGATTAATGGCTAAGTACCGAAAAAAATGGCAAATTGATTAATCGTTGAATCTTATTTTTGTTTTTTTGCGATATTGAAAACTTTTAAAAGTAAAATTATAGTTATGTTTCTCGATAATGGAGAATATATATTCAAATATAGATATACAATAAAAAATTTATAGAAGAGATATATTACTTTGGAGTGGTTTATGACAGAAATGGGGTCAATGTCGTCTTTGTCGTAACCGAGTCCATTACTTTATTCCGAATTCGTCTCCTACATAACTATAATGCAATATAAATCCGCAACAAATCACATCGTTATCTGCTCGCTAAGAATTCGGTGAGGACAAATTATTTCTGTTAACAAGGACATTATTAACTTGTAAGCAACATTGTAAGGGGTATTAATAACGCGCGTTTCTGTAGTCTATCAGATTCATACAATGTTCCAGGAAACATTAGAGGATATAAATTATTTTTGTATGTTGTGTTATTATTTATTATGCCAGAGATTTATTTGTATTATAAAAACTTACTGCAATGAATGATTGATATACGAGCGGGTTATAAAATAGATTATGTTGCAAGTTACTACAAAAAGAAACTATTGAAGAAACTATAAAATTGAAAAAAAAACTATTTGTTTTAAAGTATCAATAAATATAGGAAGTAAGAAATTAAAAACTACTTTAATAAAACAATAATAATATCTGTATTTTTTATGTGCTGAAAATTAAACAACAGCACAAAAAAAAACATGATAAATTTTATATATATATTAACAAATGATTAAACCTGTTTATTATGATAATAATACGTAACAAAGTTTATAAAATATTATATGAGTGTTGTGTAACACTATAAACCATGTATAATAATTAGACAGAGTCTATTTACCAAGCGTACAGTGCCAGAGGCGAGCGGAAAATATATCAAATAATAATTACCAACAGAGAAATTTCACATATCGTAATTACTGCTGGCACGAACATTAAGGAAAAATATATTATACCAAGAAATATTTATTCTATTTAAGTACATTTTTATTTGAACGAGACGCTGATAATATTGAGAGCAAAAAATTTTTCAAGTCGTATATATAGTGAATGAGATCTTGGTATTCGAAAAAATAAACAACTATTAATTGAAGTGAGTTTTGAAATCATGCTATTTTACGAAAACCAGTCGCAGGCGTGACGTTACAAGGTACCTTAGAACAGTCGTTTATAAATAAAAGAGAAATAACGATTATTGAAAAACCTACGTTAGGGGATTCTTCTTAAGCATGTCTAAAATTTTAATATACTTTAAAGTTATATTGAATTGTAAGTTGTAACTAACAATTTATAATTGAAAGCAATGTCAAAAAGATTTCACGCTAATAT